ATCAGCTGACATAAGACTACTGGTGTCCTACGATGAGCAGCTAAAGCAGAAATACCGATTTGACGAGCCTAAAGCCTAAACGCCTAAGCTTTAATTCAAGCCCTCAACCTGAACCCTCAACCTTGAACACACGACACAGTAAACCCTGAATCCCTAAAGCCCTTAACCCTGCTCCTCAGATTCCCTTCGGGGTCGGGGACTTGTTGAAACTTGTTCCTGGGTTCTCCCTCCTCGGCCCTTTAGATGAAAGGCAGTTCGTTTCCAAAGTGGCAACACCCAGCCAACGAATCATACACCCTCACCCCAAAACAATGACATAAACGTCTAGGGTCTAATCACCGCTTTGAATTATTAGCACCCCCTATAACTAAAGGAGTTTTTCTGAAATCCAAGCTATGAGATTCCTCCAGAAAACACGCTAGGTTTAAGAGAGCAAAAGTTCGTCCCTTAACTCATCCAGGAATTTTCGGGCTCAACATTGTGTCTTCTGGAAGGCTACAGCCTTTTTGGAAGCCATGACTTATTACTTTACTGGAACTGCAGCCTTAGTAGAGGCCTACTTAAGCCTTTTGTACTAGGGTACGACTGTACTATGAGTACCACTTCTACTGTACTGACTACTCCTATTTATATATCCCGGCCCTCCCGCCCGAATCCTCAAATTAAAAGGCCCATGATGTTGAATAATTTTCGAGATCCGCTTATTCTAGAGGGGGGTGTGGGGCGAGCGCCCCTTATCACGAGCACGGATTCGAGCCTGCAACATTGTTGAGTTACTTGCCGTGTGCACAAGAATGTCGAGCGCCCTTATCGCTGGAGATCCCAGCGACAAACAGTGTAAAGCTTATTCTGGAAGTTTCAGATGCCAGCACCCCAGTGCTATGGATCAAAAGTATTTGGGAATTCTGGAACAGCCGCAAAATCCTAAACGCCAAACCCTGCAAGGAATCCTTACAGGTGTGCCTGACCGCCCGTGTGGGGAAGTTCCCGGGCGCTCGCGTCGCGAAGGCCGGCGCTCACCACGCAGGTCATGACCACTTGGAAAAAAGCCCAAAAGACGTGCCAGAAGTACCAAACCTCAGGTCAGCATAATGGTTTAGGGTGAAGGGTTTAGGGTAACTAGAGAACAGCCCGGCATGCCTTATGATTCTGGTAGAGATCCGAAGGGATTTTTCAACGAGAGGTCGACATTATGAGATGACAGGGCTTCAGGTGTGAGATCCATGGCCGAAAGTTTTTGGACTCTTCGGCATTTATGGACCTACAGCAGAGCTACTCTCTCAATGAGAGTACCGCCTATACTGTGCTAACTATACAGCAGCCTCGGGAATAAGAACAGGGCATATATAAGAAAAAACAATATGGGCACGTTCTTCCGGTATTATTCTTGCTACTTATTCAACCCCCTTTTCTGTATACTATACTTTACGCATCTAGGCCCAAGGTTCACAGGAGTGAGGGTTGAGGGCTGTAGGTGTGTAGATCCAGATCTTCCAGTTCCGCCGACTCAGCCGGCAGCATTTACTTCTGAGGTTGCAGTGGCTCATCATGGTGCCCGTCATCTGTGTGTCTGTATATAAACAAAAATTTGATGTATATGAAATATATGATATATGATATATATATATATATATATATATGGTACCTACAGGATATACTATATACCATACAATATATATATATATATATATATATATATATATATATATGATACATACAGGATATACTATATACCATATATATATATATATATATATGTCATATATATATATATATATATATATATATGTCATGTGTGTATATATATATATACTTCATACATATATTTCTACCATACATACATATATATATATATGCATACCTATGATATAAATGCTACATGATAAATACCATTTTACATATCTATATGTATATATATATATATATATATACATATGTATGGATGGTCCCCCCCCAAGAACTACCGATCCTCGTTTTGTATCGTAAATACCGTGTTGAAACGGCTTCTCCGGCAGATCCAAATTCCGTATCTCGCAAAGACAACCTGAACGAAGCTCACATTTCAACAGAACGTGCTAGACTGCTCTTTCAGGTTCGACGTGAGCAAGCACTCCACGGTAACACTGTACTCTTCCATTCACAAACGAGCCGCTAAGCAACTGGTTCAGGATCGACGTGAGCACACACTTCACGGCAACACTGTATTCTTCCTCACAAAAACAAACGTTTTCCTAGGGAAAACAAAAAAACATCTTTCGGCAAACTACACGGCCGAACTCAAAAACATGTTTTTTTTTTGTTTTTTTAAATTTTTTCCTAAGAAAAAATGTTTTTTGGTGGAAAAATCAATTTTCCCAGGAAAAAGACTGTTTTGGGGTGAAAAGCAAAAAAAATCTAGAAAAAAACTAAAAAACATGTTTTGGTTAACTGTGTGGCCAGACTTCAAAATTTTCTTTTGGTGTTCCCTAGGAAAAAATGGGTTTTTCACATCCTTAGCCGTCTTGGAGACACTAGCCTTCAGGGCTTCCAAGTCTGAGCGCGGCAGTTGCGAGCAAAACTCATCTCGATCGAACAGTAGGCATGTTTCACATGCTGGTCCATCTCCGCAAGGCGACCGTGGTCAAACGAATGGACATAGAAACATCGATCGTGAAATGGGGCATTGAACTTGAATCATCTCCTGCGAGAAATGCGTAAATCGTGGGAAAAATAAAAACAGCCAAGTGCACTGTGCGCGGCCGTATAGCACTCGGGAGGAAGGGCTGAGGCTCTGGATGGTTTGCGTCTTTTTGAACGTTGACATCCCCCCCACCCCCAATAACCACCAGAACTACTGAAGAATCACGAAACCCACTGGGAAAAAACAGGAAAACACCAGGCGCCTGGGGACGCGCTTTTCACTACGACTACTACAACTACGACTACTACGACTACTACTACTACTACTACTACTACTACTTCTACTACGACTACGACTACTACTACTACTGCTACTACTACCACTACTACTACTACTACTACTACTACTACTACTACTACTACTACTACTACTACTACTACTACTACTACTGCTAATGCTGCTAGTACGACGACGACGACGACGACTACTACTACTTCTACTACTACTACTCTCGGGAGTGTGAGGTTCCTGTTGTAGAGCCCGTGCAAATACAGCGGTCAGAATGGAATCAGATTTCTATGGCGTAATGTACGGACTCCGTGCAAGCGGGGCAGATGGGGCGTAATATCGAGGTGTGAGTCCTCGGACATGGTATTTCCAAATATCTATTTACTGTACCCGCAGGCCGTATTCTAATTTGTACATGATATTACATGATGGAACCCAGCAAACACGTCAAAACACTGATCAAACCCTCAAGAAAGCGCTGTTCACTTCACATTATTGAGACCCTGTGGTAGAGAATTGCATTCCAGCGGTGAAGGGCCCGCACCTTGACTTTGGCCCAGGACTCGTCCAGGACGGCCTTAACAAACCTTGCTGTGTTCTGTGCGATTTGAAGATTTACAAAGGCTTTGGGAGAGTTGCATGGGTCGCACAAGGATACACAGCTGTCGTAGAAGAGCCGTTACATGGAGTGGCTGGTCGTTTGACCTGCATCACGTTCGCAAAGCTCTCGCAGTGCGCAGTCTCTCTAGTTCCTACCGGCTCGGGCCGGATCCAAGGTTGTCTTTACTCTTTCTGGGCTTCGTGCTCGTTGAAGGTAGGAATGTCTGGAAAGTTTGAACACATGGCGAAGCCCGGTGATGTAAAGCTCAGAAACACATGACTTGGTCCTGGTGCCACTGTGCAACTTGCCTGACAAATGGGATTGCATTAACCTAAACCCCAAACCATGCAGCTTTAACTCCTCGCATGGCCGATGAGCTCTCTGCATGGAGTGAGAGACCCTAGCACGGAAGCTGCAGCAATAGGATCTTTATGAGGCAGACACCAAAACGAATCGCGTGATGTTAAGAAACGGAGCATCCTGGCGTTTTTTCGTGAGGATCCCATAAGGCAACTATGATGCCAACCGTAATCATAAGATCGACTTGGAGGATGAAGGTGACTTAGCAAGTACAGTTTTATAAGCATACTGATTGGGATATTACCCCAGACCCCCGGGAGGATCTAGAAAGTAGATCCCCTGATTTGGGGCCCTATACTACGAAGGGTACTGTATAGGACCCCATTACGGGATCTACTTTTTGGATCCTCCCGGTGGTCTGGGACAGTAAGTAGTTCAAATTATGGTCGTCTGAGTTGCACGTCCATGTACTAAGGTCCATGATCCTAATTATCCTAAAATCACACTTTAAGCACAAAACTCGGAGCCCTAACTCCGAAACCATCGAAGAGCAAACAAGGGAACCCTTAAACGAGCCCTTGGAAGAAGACCTTTAAGTAATGCCCTGGGAGTCGAGAGGCTTTGTGTCCAGGAGGCTGTAGTTTGCCTCCACAATGGCCATCCTAAAGAGGACGCTAGAAGGTTGGAACATCATTCTGCTCATGCCCCCTAAACCCTAACCCCTAAACCCCTAAACCCTAAAGTGTAGCGGATCCCTCAGAAGTGTAGGGCATCCCAGCCTTGATCATCCTGAGTCTAAAGAAGGCTTCTACATTACTGTTTAGGAGCTGCTCCGCTCCGTTTCATGTTAACAATAGTTAGGTATTAAGGAGTTTAGGGTACCCCTACCTTGGTAAGGAAATATCGAGCAGCCGCAGTCAGACACCTAAACATGTGTCCTGAAGCATCAGACTCTACGAATCCAGCCCGCCAGTGGCCTGATATGGTTGATGATCTAAATCGTGCATTGCCCATGTTAGGCATATACCATAATTCCCATAGTCCAGTGTCAGGTAATGCAGGATTAAATGCCATCAGCCGTAGTCCTTGTTTTCGAAACCAGCCCTTATTCCTCGATCAAACTGGAATCTTGTCTGTGACCAAAAATAGGAAAGCTCCCCGAACTAAACCTTAGGCCCTAAACCCCAAACCCTAAAGCCTACAACTTGCAGCCAGCTGCATAATCTCGTCCCTGGCCAGTTGGTCCGCATCAATGGGGATGAGGCCGACTGTAACGAATTTCTGGGCCATAGCCAGGCCATCTGAGCCTGGGTGCTTGTTAAAGCACATTTTTTAAAACACTAGGACCAGGAAAGCGCGATCTGTCTTACTTAATACGTAAAACGGTGTGAAATAGAAGATCCAGGAGCCTTTTAGCTTGTTTGCGAGATGCTTTTTTTTATCCACATCGGCTCCGTTGTCATTGCCTGTATAGTCCAGCACTTTCCGCGGGTGCCGCACGCTGCGTACATCACCACAGAGGAAAGCCATCCCTTGGAACTGTGCGGACAAAAACGGGTAATGCAGGGTAATACAGGGGCCGTAATAATTAGAATGGGGTTTCGGTGTATATTATACTATGAAATATAATAAGGAACCCCCCCAAAATAGTATCGGTAATTATTTAGGCTCCTATAGTATGGATTTATCCACCATTCTGGCTATGAGTTTTCGAAGGCATGCTGTTTCATTATAGGATGACCTCGTATCTCCGGTTTCACAGTTGAAGGAACTAGGCAACATCTCCGCGTAGCTGAATGGAAGCGTGATGGATGTAACGTCCTGCACCTGGACAATGAACTAACTCAACATGTAGAATGATAGGTTTATGTTCGAAGTTTTTAACATAGCAGGTAAGCCCCAAAGTCCACATGTCTGAGCCGAATGTCCGAATCTCGGAAACACACTCGATCTATATTGCGCTGGATATGACGGCTGCAGGTTTAAACATATCTTCTATGCGGATCCAAACCTTTGTCTTCGAACAGCAGCATTCGACTCTAGTTATTCAAGCCTCGATATCGAGCCCAAGCATCTGTCCCAGCGGTTCGTGAAGCTTTGCCGCCAGAAGTTGATGCGATTGCATTGTTCAGTATAGGTCATATTAGCAGCCAGCATCCTCGAGAGGCAGGGGCTACAGGGAATTCTAGGAGCTTCATAAATTATAGGTGTTCCGAGAAATGAGGACAAACATTCCGCTGTAGTCCCTATATGAATACTGAATACGTATAGTAAGGCTCTTATACTACGAGGCTTCAGTTTTACGAAGGGTTGTAGAGGAGGCCCTAGATTTGTGGGCTACGGTTTGTGGAGTTTCTGGCTGAGGACGTGGGAGCCGTGTGTGGGGGCTGGGGGCTTCAGGTTTCGGACTATAAGCTTTGCGTGGGTTGTGAGCTGAACCGCTGACAGCCCCGGCAATAAGGCAATTAAGAACACAAATAGAGTAATACGTACCTAGTCAAACAGTAAGGATCCTTCCCAAGGAGGGATCTACGCTCAAGAAAGCCTTGCATGACACTGCGGTGATGGTAAACAACATACTCACCACATTGCCAATGCTTGGCTCTCAGCCCCTCTCCGATCTTAAGCTCTTAGACTTCCTATACTGCTCCAACTGTGGAAACCCGATATGCTAACTCATGGCAATGGAGATGTGCGATCCATCGGTGCTGCTGCAGGGGCGTCGTGCGGAAGCAGGGCGTCACAGGCATCCCAGCTCAGCTTCGAACATCGATTATAGCCCTGACTGGGGCCCTGACTGCTGACGGCGAAGTTTTAAATGTGAACCAAGTCTCTGCTCAGGATCCTTCACGAAACTGTCCAAGGTAGTCTTCCAGTCAGCTGAGTTCTTGAGGATTTGCGTGATGATCTTGACTTCCTAGTTCCGAGGTGCGGGGTTGACGGTTGAGTCGTTTAGTCGAACTACACACGAACACAAAACCTGTCAGAGCCAAGCCGGGCTAGGAACAGGGAGCGATACTGTTGAAGGTATTTGTTACTTGTTACACGCATACAAAGCCTTGAATGCGTCCTGAACTGCACGCACGGGCCTTCTCAATTCCTAGGCTTCACGGTTTAGGGAAACCCTGTCATCAGCACCTACTCTTGGATTTGGCCTGGACTTGCCTGCGGCTCTTTCAGATCAACAGTATCTGGACTACCAAAAACCAGAAAATTTGCCACAGCTCCGGCGGGTTTCTCGGCCTTCCAGCAGCTTGCGTACAACAGCCATGTCGTGATAGTGCTCCAATAACAAAGATGCAATGCTTGGTCGCTCCGCGAACGCAAACTCCACCAAGTACTGTTGGTATTTTTTGCTGTTTTCGGACTTCCAGTAGGCGGGGAATCCACCAGCGCTCTCCTAACAAAGGCCCATCTGAGCTGGAAACACCCACAAAATGGATGGAACGCCGTATTGATCCTATTGCTGCTGCTGTCAGCCCTCGCTCTAGATCCTGCTTCGGAACAGAAGCTCCATCGACGATGTTGTTGTGCTTATTGCAAAGCCTCTGACACCAGAGACACTTGTCTGAACTTCCTGAAGTTCCCGATGGGAATGCTCAGCTCAGGCACAGAACCCTCACTGCAGTTGTAAGCAGAGTGTGAAGGTGTTAGAATAAGGCTATCAGCTGAAGCCAATTCGGGCAAGCGAGACCCAACGCGTCCTCCTCCATTGCCTCCAAGAGGTGTTGGAAGCACGTCGAATCTCCAGCTTCGCAAGCCAGTTGGATTGCCGAGCGACCGCCTTTATGATCAAAAGTGGTCGTCTTCCATTCCTGCGCAGCTGAAACTGTAACTCTCGGGGCTGTTTGGAGCTAATTTATCGATATTCCCAGGGGTTCACAAACCCCAGAGGCCCATGTGCCACTTAGTATATACATTGGCCTTAAAGTAATCCCCCAGCAAAGGTACTAGGGGCCAAAGTGGCCAAAGCACCCGTAGGGCAATGGAGTTCGTCCGCAATGCAGCCTAAACCTTTGAACGCAGAGAAGCCGTGGGCCCACAACCTTCGCTCTTTATTTGCCACTCGAAAACATTTTCACTCCCATGATTTCTCGGCTTGCTACTGCGAGTATGGTTGCAAACAACCCATTACTTTGCAGCATGAAGCGCTCGTGCTGTCCCTATCACAGCTGTTTTGCTACGACTTCACTGCGGCTTGTGCCACCTCTTCGATAATTTCGCTGTTCACAGGCATCAGTGAATGCCCGAAGTGCACAACTTACCATGGCGCAGCGTTTTGCCGTCTAACGCATAGTAATTCATGCGAAACGTATTGGAACGGCTATTGATCCACCGTAGTGCTCGTAAGAGCGGGATTAGTGCTATTGTGCTAGGCTACTCCTCCCGTGCATGTTTAAAAGCCCCTCACAAGAACTTTTGGGATGGCCCCCAAAGAGTGCATACAATAGGGGCCTTAATATTTAGAGTAGGCTTTTGGGTCCCGTTATGCGATAATTATAATAAGGAACTCCCAACCTGGTATTGGTAGTTATTTTGGCCCCTATACTAGCCTCTTTTGATCCAGACTACAACACTGTTCGGCCTCTGGGGGGGTACCCTTGAGGGGGCCGGAAGTTGTGAACCTGTATCGAATCTCTCTCTCTCTCTCTCTCTCTCTTCCGAGGAAATCCTCGGCTATCATCCCTGCCGACAGGCACCTTCCACGTACATTTCGAAGTTTAGGGATTAGCACAGTATCGGAAACCTTATGGCCCTATGATGCTTTCTTTTCCCAGTGAAGCGCAGGACTGCAGGGTCTGCAGCCTACATAATGGAAGAGTTAGGAAGAAACCCCGAGGAACGGGAACATTCCACACATAGATCCCTAATATCAGACGTTCTTCCGCCGGACGGAACATTTGATGTTTCGGGGGGCAGCTCTAATGTAAGAGTAACAAACCATGAGCTTGTCGACGCGTCTCTGTGGATGTAGGCATTTCAATGACTGTGCTTCAAGATTTCTTTAAACCATATCAACCCTGCAACACGTCCTCGTTCTGACACTCAAAAAGCTTCTGCTGCCTCGCAGTGTGGAGGATGCCTGTCGTGATTGCTGGAGGCTCTGATACAGACAATCCTTGTACCATAACATATTCTGAACGCCTGCGCACTAGAGTCCCCAGATGTCTACGACCACAAAGGCAGTTCAACAAGATATGTTTTTTAAATATACATATATAGATATATATGTATACTAGTGTGGGTAGAGATAAATATGTGTGTGTATATATATATATATGTACATGTATATATACACATAGACTATTGGTTCATGGGTTTTGGAATACAGCGCGGTAATTCGTAGCGCTTTTAGCCCAAACGGCGATCTCGATGCCAAGGCCGCAGCCTGATCCGATCACAGAAATCACACCATATCTAAACCCACTGGTGCTTGAGGGAGGGGAGGAGGGTATACAGGGACTACTTTACTTAGAGGATCATGGGACTTTGTAAGTAGGTTTTTCACTGGGGTTATAAGTCCCCTAAGTGGGGTTATCCTAACTATAACCTACTTATAACCTTACTTACCAAGTCCCATGAGCCTTCAAGTAAGGGACTGAGCAAGGACTATTACAGGGATCCACTCTCCCCGTCCCCCGTAAGCACCGGTAAGTATAGTCTCCATTGCAGTTCCTGTTGGGGTTAAACCAAGTTCAACTTGAGAATCCTGTCTATCTGTACATAATATATATATATATATATATATATATATATATATATTAATATATATATATATATATATATATATATGTATGTATATATATATATATATATATATATTTGTATATATATATATATGAGAGTATATATATATATGTGCACATATAAATGTACAAATATACATGTATATACATAGGTATATATATATATATATACATATATGTATATGTTATATACGTATTCGCTGATCTGTGCATGTAACTACAACGGAGGCTATGGATTTGTCACCAAACTCGTCAAAGCAAGGAGCCTTGCACAGCTTCTGCGTTACCCAAACGGGCGGCGTGGTGCAGTGAGGTGAAGCCGAGCCAGAGGATGGACGGATTGGCTCGCTTTTCCAGTAGGACCTCTGCCGCTTGCGCACACCACGGATTTTCAACTTCAACCCTGACCCAAAAGAAACTCCAAACCGAAGACAACAACCACACCAAAGTAAGTTCTGGCTCAACAGTAGGGGTAGCAGGATTGAAGTACCGAAGCGAAGTTTAGACTGCCACATCTCGACCTTCGGCCCCTCCATGTGCTCGTCGTGACTAATGGACTAACCCATACATTCCGCTTCCCACTTCATTATGACAGAACTTGCCTGGCTCCAACCTTTCTGCCTCTTCCCTTTTCCCAGACATCAACTCCTGGAAGGCTTGCAGTTTTCATTGCAATGTGCAGCCCCCTCATGCACGTATCCAAGCGTCGTCGTCGTCGTCGCGGACACAGGCCCGAACCAAGACTCGAAGTATGAACAGAGGCAGTGCGGTGAGAAGACGCAA